CTAATATTAAAAAAAAAAATGTAAATACAAACTTTCCCACGAATTTGTAAAAATGCATGAACTTATATATATTTTTTAAATATAGGTTTCCGCAGCGATATGTTTTCATTATCAGTATAAGATAACTCGAAAAAAAGGATACACACATTATACATTTACACCGTGTAAATGTAATTGGGTATCGTTAGTGTGAACAGTTTTGTGGTTGGCAAGAATGAATTTTAAACTGGCGCGACTCGTTGAAAAATTCTTAGTAAGTACACGAAACCCTTTTCTCTCACTCGTACGTAAAAAAACTATTTCACACGTTACCCAGAAATTGTATCACGAAAGAAAAAGGATTCCCCGGATAAATCTGAATTAATTAATAAACATTCTATTTCCGTTTTAAAGTATTTACCAAACACACATACATCTGTAACAGTATATTTTCCAACAGGACTCGTAACTCGGCAAATTTTCCAAAACAGTAATTTATCGCGTCACTTTCCGCGTAAAGCACAATATCGATACGATATCAGTCTCTACGCCGATAAAATACGACGCATGTGAAAAGCAACATTTCCCAGTATTACTAATAAATCATTAAAAAACGTAAATCACCGCGTTCCAACAGAAACGAAATGTCAGAATGCAGCAAGGAAAAAATCAAAAAAAAAGAAAAAACGAAACGTATCAGTCCGACCGTCACTTTCACGTTTCGATCTGCAATAAAAACCGTGCTTAAAAATCGCTTGCGTATCTAGACTTTTTGGAAGGGAGTATACCGCGCATGCGTCCCGAAAAGCTCACGGGACGAACGTAGAGGACGTACGCGGAGCAGTGCGCCGGGGAGCGAAAAGGAAGGAACGAGCGGCGAGAAAGTAAGAGCGATCCCCGCGCAGAAAATTAAGCAGAAGACAGTGGCAGCCATTTTTCCTGACATTGCCGTTCCTGCGGCTCGTGGTGCTAATTGCCGTCGTCGATTCACGGCTGGTCTCTGGAGCTGATCGGGGACAGCGAGGGGACGGTGTTGTAGACGGTCGAACGGGGTGTTATTGTGCGCACCGAGATTAAAACGGCGCGAGATAACGATAAGAGAATTCAGACGTCAATGGTACGGCGTGGCTCGGAGTGACGAGTGCGTGTGTAAACGATCGCAGAGAGTAGTGGGGCTCGCGATCGTAGTTGGCTGAGTGGACAGCCGAAAAGGAGGAGCTGCCGACAACGGGAAGGGTGTTACAGGAGGCGACAGCAACGGCGACGGTGACGACAACGACGACCACGACGGAAACGACGACGGCCACGATACGACAACGGCAACGATCGCGGAAACGGAGCTACGGCAGCCCAGCCTAGGCGTCCTTATTTTGCGGTTTCTTCCCTAGAAACCCTCTGCGAACGGGGAATCGTTAGTATTGCACAGTGCACACAGTCACGCGCCACCGCGTACATCAGCGCCACGAGATGGAGAGGCGAGCTGCTTTTGTGCTGCTGGGGATGCTATATTTAGCGGGCACCCTCGTCACGGTCCAGGCAGGTGAGACTTGTCCTCTCTTTCGGATTGACCACCATTCAGCCGTTCATCTATTCGTAACCCGTTCCCTGTCCTTCCCTTCCCATTCTTTTTTGCCGTTTTACGCGAGGGTCGCATTCCCGAGTCCTCCGCCGACGCTGTCCTTCGTGCTTCTCTTATTTTCGAACCGTACCGAGATTCCTCGTACTCGCTCCTGGAGAAATTCCACGCGTTCCGTCCGCCTCTGATAACGATCCGTCTGCTCGTGAAAAACATAACCTTCAAAATCAATTTCAACCGTTCGATATCTCGTCGGTACGATACTCGGGGAGAGAGAGAAAGAGAGAGAGAGAGAGGGAGAGAAAGAGAGAGAATTTATGATTAACATTTTTCACATCGTACGCGAGATCGTTACGGTTTCTCGTTTTTCGAGTGGTCTACGCTGGCATTGTGACGTAGTTGTCACATGGTACCCCGCACGCATTTTCATCGTGTGCGTGCTAATTAGGAGCGGAGTAATTTTTCCAAATTTAGTACGGTTATGCGCGTTCGATCCGCGAACCCGTGTCTCTTCGTGTCCGATTCGAGATCGGCGCATCGTTCGTTCGCGGTGCGCGTAATGCAGCGTTCGTCGTTGTGTACTTCCCCTAAAAGCACTCGACGTTGTCTCTTGACAGATTATGAAATTCTATTTTTAGTTTTGATTATACCCGCGACACGTTAAAACGTGCGGGCAGCCTCGCGCGAGACACTATGAACCGTTTTCAACATGGTTCTCTTCTGCGCGAATTGTATCGGGGAACAGTCACAGCCGCGAGGTGAAGTGGCCGTACACAGGCAACGATTTGAAATAACGATACCCCACACCGATTCGATTATCATTGCGTGTATGTAGCCCACGGTGTTCGATACAACGCGATACGTAGAGCACTTAAGGTATCACGTGTGCTTCAATCAATCGACTTATTTGCACGCTTCTCATCGCTCTTGGAATCGGTATATACCATTGGTCAATAAAGTATCTGCATTTTACGTTCTTCGCAAGAGAAAATGACGTATTAATAATTCGGTACTCGGACATCGTGTAAAAAGTATATAATCATAAACTGAAAAGAGATCGTTGTCCTAAGTACTTTGTAACTATACATTTGTAACAGTTAGCAAGAAACAATTGAAAAAATCCGTTTTCACCTGCTAAAAATATATCCAATCATATTGCGTCATTATATAGGGGAAATGATGGTGCTCGAGCCAGAATGACTATAACACTCCCTTTCTGTTTTTCGAAGGTCTATTGATCCTAAACCTCATTTCACAAATTTCAACCGTCGATCTTTTATACTTACCACTACTTTCATACTACTGACTTTATTTTAATTAAATTTCTATCGTGCGAATTAACAGTGGAATATATTCGAGTTCGAATGCTACAATTTTTTCCAGACAAAAACTAAAATAATACCGAACGGTTCTTCCTGAAATTGAAAAAATTCTTTTATTTCATAATTCAGCCCTTACCGAATTCACGGTTACAGTGCACCAGTAACGTCGACTGTGAAATGGCAAATTTCTAACGTTCCTGTGCAGAGTGTACCAAAGACTCGAAATTTCATGAATACACCATTGTTCCTCGCGTAAGGTTATTACTGCAGATCCGTGCAAACACTTTTACAGCCGAGTTCGCGCACGACTGTTCAATGCCAATTGCCAAAGACACGTATTCCATTTATACGTCTCTCAATATTGTATCCGTCCGTGTCCCTCTAATAACCGTACGTTACCGAATTTTATAGGTTATCCCCGCGCGAACGTTTATTATGTCATTAAAACGCCCGTACACGTAAAAATACGTGACGCGTCTGTCCCTCGGTCTGGCAGCGCGGTGTCAATCGAATTTTGACCCTGCTCGGCCACTCGGATTGCGCACCCCTGGTTTATACAGCCGCGAGTCCACCGGGATCCGCTCCGCTCGCATTCGATGCTCTGCAGCCACATTCCGAGAGACGTACGCGAAGGTACCCACGCCAAGCAACTTTTGTTGCGTAACAATTGACCCTATTTTCCGTCCGCCCAGAAAACTTCGTGGACATTTAGTGATCGCCGCAGAGAGGTTCGTTCGCCGATCGGTATGATCGCGTTTGAACGGTACCATTTTTACGGCACTGCGAGCGTCTGCGGAGTGGCGGCTCCCTGGCGGTCCGCGGAGGTGTTCATTCGACGAGACTTATCGACACCGTTCGTCACGCATAAAGTGTAACAGCTCGAGACGAGAACTTGGTACCGTATTTCGTCGTCGGAGAAATATCGGCAGAAGTAAATTTCACGTATAAAACGCGAGGGGGGAGGAGGAGGAGGTATCGGTTGAAATTTCTGTTCGCTTCGTCGGAGGTGTGTGCGTGCATCGTGCAGCGAGAATGTGTAGCGTGAAAAGATTTCAACCGTTCGTCAGGATACTTATATTTAGACCGGAGTCTACGAATATCATTTCCATTTTATCCCTGCCGTGCCATGGGATCGCGGCAAGGGCGTGAAGGGATCGTTAGAATTTCGAAACCTTCGGGGATTAACGTGTATCGTGTGTCTCGTATTGTCGTCCGTATTACCATTCTTTTCGATTCCCTCTAACGCACGGTCGTTGGGCCCAACACGCGTGGCCCGTTTATATTCTTAGCGCGTGTGCCTTGTTTATTGAAATGTAAACTTAACCTCCATTCTCTAACGCGGTGAATGTTTTCATCCGCTCTGTTTTGCCGTCGCTCGCAAACCAGACGAGAAGAATGCTTACGTTTAACCCTGGGAGCGCGCCGTCTATTTTTGGCCCTTCAGCGTGTACCATAGAATAATGCGACGATAGTAACGCCATGCAAATCGTAAATACGTGTATCTCGCTCTTCTGCTCTTTTTAACGTCCGTCCCCCCCTCCCGCGGGGTTCCCAGAATCCTCGTTTCCGTGAACCGTCTCAATTATTCAACGTTCGTCGACGACTATCGCGGCGCGACTCGACGGTATCCGTAAAATTAGAATTCGAACGCTATTGTTACGAGATAAACGAGTATTTCTGAAATCGCGATAGAGGTACGAAAATATATTGGGGTTAGGTCAGTCTGTGTCCCGCGGAGTCGAAGGACCGGTCGTTCTCTGTCGCGAGCATATTTCATGGGAATCGTCGTCCTAGATAGTGTTATTCCTGACGGTCCTTGGTTCACGCGATTCGACCCTTTGCACTCGAGAGGTGACTCGATTTCGTACAGTAGAATTATAAAATTTGATATTTAACACGTTGAATGCCATGGGGTTGATTACCCTCAACCAAATTGCATTGCTATAGTTCATCCAATTGAACGATGATCATTTGAAAACGTTTCTATATTATAAATAATAATAATAATAATGCAATTCAAACAAATTTAACATCATATTCTTTCCATTTTGTATATTTTGCTCTATGAAATCATGCAGCATTGTTAATATTATACTCTATAATGCATCAATTTAAAAAATACTGATATAAAATAGCCTTGTCCCTCAATGCACGTTTTCTCGAGTTCCAAAAAATTATCTTATCAGAAAATGTTCAAACATACAAATGGAGAAACTTGTGCAAAGGGTTAACCCTTGCCTCTCACCATTTAATTTCATACAGTAAAACTAGGAAATTTTTTATTTAATATTATACCCTCCATAATGCATCGATTTGAGAGATATTGAAATAAAATAGCTTCTTCATCCCATTAGGGAATCTTGAAATATTTCCAGTGAAAAACTTCCGAGTGCAAAGGGTTAATATTGAATCTCGCGATCCAAGAATAATCCGAGTGGATAATGTTGGCATCTCGAGGACGGTTTAAAAATTTCAGTTTCGGTTCAGTGGCAATGCGGACGAGTCTCGGGGGGGTGGTGGGGGTAGGAAGGGACGAACGTTAATGTAAATATCCGTCGGTATCTCCGGTGGTGTATTGTTCGGGACAGCGGGGGGCACACGGCTGCGCCGATCGATTCCGAATACGTTTTTCGCCAAGTGTACGCTCCGCTCTATCCTCCACCCCGTGCGATGCGAAGACACGAATGGTTTCGTGTGCTTCGATCGTACTGGCGAGCTGGCGGGTTGGCTTTCTTACACGTTATCCTGCCGATACACAAGCGGCGCTAGTGACCCTCGCGGACTAACTAGGCCAACGGGTTCTTGGTGATTTCGGTTCGTAGCTTCTATCGGCTACGAGAATTATTTTATGCATCACCGAAATAAATTCATTAGAGTATCTTTAGTTGATTACGTAACCGTGCACGCCGACCGAACCGGCTGAAACTTTTGTCCGTCTTTCTGTATTCTAGGTCTGGGCTAGGTCTAGGTTAGAACTGGTTTCGAACCACGGGTACCAGTGTACACGCGTGCACACGGATAATGAGCGGTTGATCGGTGAATTCGTTGATTACCAATATTATATCGATTCTTTATTAACAGTGACTTTGAAATCGTACATCAGTATTCTCGGTTGAGTTGATTTATTTAATCTCTCATAGCATATTGACGAATGACATTAATCAACTATTGTACATAGTTTACGTCCGTCATTGTAACTTTAAAGTTACGTTCCAATGAAATTATTGAAACTAATAGTTAATTCGTGTTTATAAGTTATTAAATTTCATGCGTACATTTTGTTATAATCGCGAAACAAAGTTCGTGGGTTTTTCAGTTTCGTTTCCTTTCTGCGTGAGCTTCGTTCCCTTTTAGAGATATATTTCTGTGACTCTGTATACAGAACGATAACGCTCTATTGTACTGTGCTCGTCAATTTGAGGAATGATAACAAGCGAATCGGCTAGAAATTAAGGCCGTATCGCAACGAGCTGTTAGACAGACTGTGTTTCTTCGCGATAACAGCTTTATGGTGAATCATGTTTATGGCTGATACTCGACCTTTGTTACTGTCACTGACGAATGCCGTTGTGACGTGTATCAGCTTGTATGCACGCCGTTCCGCCGAGATGCTGTAATTTTACCGATTCGTCATCAAAACGG